CCAAAACTTTACCCGAGCAATTTTCATCACGAAAATCGAGAAAAAAAAAGATATTTTATTAATTAAATTAAAGGATTGAAATGAACCAATCATATCATGACACGTGTCATGATTTAATCCTAGTGATTAACAGAGTTAACGGTCGTTAGTCATTAATGGCATTCAGTGAATTTTTTAAAAGCTCGGTGACATTTGGTGAATTTGTGAAAACTTAATGATATTTGGTGAATTTTTAAAAAACTCAATGGCATTTGGTGAAATCGCCGTTGTATTTAAGTTGAGTGATGGAAACATGGAAACCTTCACTAGGGTGCACAACTCCATTTTTTTTTGTTTTCACTTTATAGCTTCCAAAAAAAACTCTAATTATATACCAGAATTCACATTGAGTCCTAGGCCAACTATAGAGTTGAGATCATAGGTCTTGCAAACTAACAAACACATATTATGCACCCGAGAACATAACTAAGGTGTTACCATTAGTTTTATCATCAAAAACATTTTTTATGTCACCAACTGTTTACACCTCGTATAATATTACTATATAACTAATTGTTGAAAAAAAAAAAATTGAGTAGCCCATTTTATTTTTTATTTTTTTTATTTTTTTTTCAACGATCCAAAAAGGAGACAAGCTCCCAACAGACTCAAGACTACAAATAAAACAAAAAGAGATTTAACTCTCTTAACCAAACTAACACAAGGACTATAACGGGGAATGGGGGTACAACTTTCATGACTTGCTATGGGATACAAATATGGGGGTTGACAGGTTCCATCATAGACGTTATCCATAAGATGATCAGAGTTTGTTCCTTTTCGCTTCTTGGACCTGCAAAAACGATACCTGGAATAAAGATTACCTTTCTTGTTCTTCTCCCTTGATATGTGTGGCCTACTATGTTTCCTCGCCGTGGCAGAGAACTTGAAGGTAGTATTGGGACAAACTGCACCTGGTCATGTTCAAAAGCCATGGGGTCATCCTCATTGGATCCGACGGATTCCACTTCAACAAAGTCAGTGGCATGATAGTCTCTTGCTAGACCTTCACTCCCATACTCGGCGCTTGAACCTTCAACGCTGTTATAAGTTAGGCCTGAAAGCATAGACTCATCTAACTTCACAACAGCAATAGTGTAGAGGACATGGTTGACCACTTTAGGGCCAGAAGAGAGGGGGGTGACCTTTTCCTTTTTGGGCTTCTTGTCTCGCTTCTTCCGGCCCGAACTCGTCTTCTTAATAGCATGGATAGAGATTTGGACCTTTGGAATCCGTATCCTTGTAAATTTTTGAATGCCTATCTTCAGTAGTCTTTTCCTTTACTCGTACAGTCATCCATGAACCCGCAAATTGGTTAAAGAAACTCAATGTCCTCCCTTCCTTCAGATTCGAATAGGACAAGAAGGAAATCTTAAGGTCTTGTTTCTTTTCATTCCATTAGAAAAACAATGGATTTTCCAAGTTCCAAAACATTTCTTGATTCCAAAGCAACATACACGTTGTGGGTATGGAACTATGGATGGGGCTCTCAACCTCCATCTCACTAGCTTGGCCCGTAGAAGGAAGGCTAGTAACATCACTCCTTTGGTCATCGCTATGAGAAACTGGGCCTTTCACTAGGCTGATAGTTGACTCACTGGTTTTCCCCTTTTTGTTGTGGTTACACTCAGTCGCAATAGAATTTTCAACACCTCTCTTACAAGCCCTCTTACCACCGGGCTTGCTTTCCTCGCAACTTAGGCCTTTCACTTTCTCCAGTTCACGGAGGATATCCTAATTATTAGGCTCTGACCTGACTGCCTTGTCAAGGTTCTCATAAGCCTCTTCCAATTGGTTAAACTTGATCTCTGCTAAAACCTTTCTGTAAAGAGATTTAGCATTGCTACCATCAAACTCGATGACTAAGGAGCAAAATTCCTTAGTTTGTTCATACTCATGGACCTTTAAGGCACAAGCTACAAGATTCAATTCCAAAGCAATAACAAGACTCCATATCAAGGCACAATCTTCCTCATTCCTTGGTAAACCAAAGCACAAAAATTTCAACCCTCTATCATACTAAGCCCCGTCACAGATAAACTCACCACGTTTATAGCATGTTACCCTCGTCCTTCAAACTCTTGGCTTGATTAAAGATATCTCGAGGGCAATTATTCTTATCAAAGTTCATAATACTTTCATCATAGTCGTCATTCAAGCGAGTAAAAACTATGGGCTTTATTTAAAGGTTGCCAATCCATAATACACCAAAAAACAAGTCTTTAAAAAACGACAATTTTATGAAATGCCACTGAGTACTTAAAAAATTCACCAAATGCCATCGTGTTTTTCAAAATTCACCAAATGCCACTGAGGTTTAGTACAATATCACCATATGCCATTTCTGATAGTTGATCGTTAGTGCCCCTTAGTTGACCCCACCACTTGCCACGTGTCACCTTCTGATTGGTCCGTTTAAAAAAAAATAATTAAAAAAACCAAAAAAATTTAAAAAAATAAAAAAAAACCACCAAATTACTGGCACCAGCCAGGCAGCACCGCCATCCCCCTTACAGCCGAAGCCAGCACCGGAAGGCGCGCCGGCGGCTGGCGGACCCCTACCCCTTACCCCGTCACGCTACCCACCCTAGCCCAAACCCCTATCCCGCGTAACTCCAGCCCCCTTCCTCCACCACCCCGAAACCACCAAATTCAAGCTCCCACCATTTTCCCCAATCAAGGCAAACGAAGGGTGAGTGACTGAGTGTCTAAGTATGATAATGCTCATCCCCAATTTGTTCGATACAACTCTACCAATCTCGAAAAATAAAAAATAAGGGTTTTTCTAAGTTATGCCCCTAAGGTAGTCGAGTTTCTAAGCTGTACCCATGCTTTTTCAAATTTCTAAGTTGTGCCCCTCAACTCACTACCATTAATGAATGGTACCCTCCTTAGGACTTCCGCGTTACCTAAAGTTAACTATAAATTTAATAAAAAGATGATAAAAGGTAAGGAAATGATAGGAGAAAGAAATCTTAGCCACCGCAACCCTAACAACAAAAATTGAAGCCACAAAATCACACTATCAATTAACTTTTAAACAACTAATAAGGGTACATTTTAGTATTGATAAGCAGTTGAAGGGCACGGCTTAGAAACTTAAAAAAACATGGGTACAACTTAGAAACCCGACTACCTTAGGGGTATAGCTCAGAAAAACCCAAAAAACAAATCTGTTCAGAGGAGAAATTGAAGTTCAAAAATATATTAATCTGTTCAACTGTTTTTTTTTTTTTTTTTTTTTGGCAAAATTAATTTGTTGTCCTTTCCTTCATCTTTTCTATGATTTCAGAAAAATAAAATAAAAAATTGAAATGTGATTTCATCACCGAAATTCCACTGTAAATTGAGCAGATTACCACAAAATTAACCATTTACAACTAAAACTTCAGATTAGCCCAAACTCGTTTTGGTGTACCTTGATTGTGAGGAAGCTCGAGTTCGATTTCGGTGGAGTACGGGCCAGCGAGATCGGGTTATAAACTACCTAATCACATCAAACAAAACAAGCAACTAAATTAAATTAAGATCCTTTAGAAATTATGAAGGAAAACTAAGAAAATTGAAAAGAAAAAGGGGAAAAAAACTCACGGTTTGAGGAAAGAGAAGGGGGGTGCATGGTGGAGGAAGGAGGGTGGGGTTTCGCGGGTTAGGGGTTTGGGCTAGGGTGGGTGGCGCAAAGGGGTAAGGGGAGGGGAAGGGGTGGGGGTCCGCCGGCGCGCCTTCCGGTGCTGGCCTCAGCGGCAAGGGGGATGGCGGTACTGCCTGGCTGGTGGCAGCAATTTGGTGGTTTTTTTTATTTTTATTATTATTATTATTTTAATTTTCTTAAAAATATTTTTGGTTTTTTTTTTAATTTTTTTTAAAAACGGACCAATCATAAGGTGACACGTGGCAAGTGGTGGGGTCAACTAACGGGCACTGACGGTCAACTAACGAAAATGGCATATGGTGATATTGTACTAAACCTCAGTGGCATTTAGTAAATTTTGAAAAACGCGATGACATTTGGTGAATTTTTTAAGTAGTCAGTGGCATTTCATAAAATTGCCGCTTTAAAAAACCCCAAAAGAGAAGTAGAAGCACAGAAGAGGAGGAAAAAAACAAACTTTCAGTTTTTCTTTTTTTTTTTTTTTTAGGAGAAACTGAGGTAGCAGAAGCAAAACTCAAAGCCCAGGAGAAAGCGAAAACTAAAAAAATTATGGAAGCCTTACTTAGAGAACTTGGGTAAAAAAAACCCCAATTGAAAACTTAGCTAGGGAATGAGCTAGAGTGACGGAACCCAGCCTAGCAAAACGGAGATCGGTGTCGGACCCGTAGCAATCTCACTCTTGTCAATTGACTAAAGAGATAATCCGGCATCCATGGACAGGAAGAGGTGGAGGGGGCGCGCCGGCGACCGAAGAGTAAGGGCGACCCACTCCGATTGCCAGCAGCCTGACTAGCTACAAACCGTAGAGGAGAGGTCCTGGTTTTGATTAAACTGGGGGCTTGAAACAAGGGCTGGTTTTAGGTTTTTTACTCGCGCGTGGGGCGCGTTTTGGTACTTATTAATCCAACGACCCAATTTTTTTTTTTCCTTCATCGGACAATTTTTGGGGATAAGAGAGAGAGAGTGAAAAAAAAAAAAAAAAAAAGACCCATATAATAGGATAGAGATAAAGAGAGTTTATTAACTTAAAGGGAAGTGATGCAACTAATTTGAAACTTCCGATTTAGAAAGGTGATGCAACTTAAAGAGAGTTTATTAACTTAAAAGGAAAGTGATGCAACTAATTTAAAACTTCCGATTTAGAAAAGTGATGCAACTAAAAAGAAATGGAAGAAGTATTATTTCTAATTGGCTTTCAACTTGACTACTTGAGCATGTTCCTTTTCTATTGCTCAGTTGCTCTTTTCACTCTCTCAAATATGGAGCAATGTAATAAGCAACGATACACTTGCAAATGAACTCCTTTAAATAAATAGATAAACAAAACCCAGCCTTGATTATAAAGAGTAACAAACTAACAATAGATAAACAATTAGTTGTTCTAAGTATTTTGCAATTAGGCGGGAAAATTTTCATTGTAAGAGTAACGTGTCATTTTCCACTTAGGTATACATTGCACAGCAAAAATAAAATTCTGACATGTATCACAAGTCTTAGTATCAGTATAAATTACACCCTATCCGTGTAACAGTTCCCCTGAATCTGTTTCAGGTTTCTTCTTGTATCCTGGACAAATAGGTCATAGATGACTGAACTTCTCAAAGTTCACCTGGCTGACTTGATTTCGGCAATGAAAAATTACTACGCATTAAAGACACAATCGAGCCCATATCACCACTTCCAAAATACAAAAGAGTAGAAAACCATTCGACATCCCAGCCCCCTCAAACAAAAGCAAAGCCAAGAACACAGCAAGCATATTATCCAAGCAGATAAAATTAACTCGCATGTCAAAGAATGAGAGCTTCGCTCTATGAAGTTAAGTATAGATAGTATCCAAAACTGTGTAAACGCCCATCAGTTAATCAGCTTCTTCAACAATGAGTTGATTATCTATTTGACAGCTCACTTCCTCAATTCAGATTTCTGGTGTCAATATCTCTTACTTTTATACCAGTCCTATGCAATTTGCAATCACGAGGTCAGTACAGTTATCATCACCCAGTACACCCAGCTATGATTTACCTTTGTCAATTTCAAACAGGGGTTCTGGATAGGGAACTTCATCGGCAATGAAGTAATCAGCTGGAAAAGAAAAAAAAGGAACATAATTACTTACAGCGAAGTTAAAAATGAGTTAACTACACACTTACTCCCTAAACTTAGCTAAAAATTGCACTTTACTCACTGAACTTATAAAACTTGCAAACTGCTCACTCATTCGGTGGTTGGAGGTCATTTATCCGATGGTAACCTGCTAGCCCGGGTAAACTCCCTAAAATTAAAGTGTATAATCCCAACTTTGTACGTAGTATTTTTTTTTTTATATATAAATTAAAGGATCTAATCAACAGCAACAACAATCAAGCAAAAGTGCAAAATCATAAATTTTAGGGTTTGCGCGGTCGTGTTAGAGCGCGGATCTGTTTTCTAAATGGGAATTAAATTGATGTTGAAACCATCGATTGGTGGTTGTTTAGGGTTACATCACTGGATTGGTGGCCGGAATTACTGCTGGAATCTGCGGTGATTGGTGCGGTGGATACCGATTTGGGATTGTATTGTTGCTGCCGCTCGAATTAGTGGGAGTAAAATGGTGTTAACGAGGGCTGCTTGGGAGAATTGGAGAGAGGAGCAGCAGCAGCAACTACAGGCTGCATGAAATTTTGTTGGTCAAAGCCTTTTCTTTTTTTTTGAAACAGGTCAAAGCCTCGTTTTTCCTGCCGGTTGTGTTGTTGTTGCCGCTCGAATTAGTGGGAGCAAATAAGCAGCAGGTATATTGTTTTTCTATCTTTTAAATTTTGGGCTCTTCGATTTTCACTAAATTATGAATTTGGCTTTGGCTATGTGCCATCTAAGTCTATATCAATATATCATCAAGCCAGAAGAATTATAGAGTTGATAATTGATACGGAACTCTTAAGGATCAATTACCTCTTCCCTTTGTTCAATTATCTAATCTACTGTAAATGGTTTATTTAGTATTTACTTTGAATGAATGTTTTAGCCTTTAGTCTCTTTATTTTACTAAGAATTCACTACATTTTAAATCATTGTGAATTTTCTGAATTTTTTCACCAAGCTTTTAGACCTTTAGTTACTTAAGTCTTACAATTGCTCTGCAGCAATAATCCTAAAAATTTCTCTATTATTTTTGACTAAATTTTGTGCTGAAAATATTTTCACCAAAATTTTTCCTTGAATTTTTCTTGCAGATTTGATCTACAAATGGTCACAAGCATTGGAGTATATATAGAGCTGTTGGTTGCCTTGTATTTTTTATCAAAATAGTTCATGTATTCTAACGGCTACTTTTATAAACAAAAAAAATGGATTGCAAAATAAGTTTAAAGAGTTCCTGATTTTTATGTCAGAAAATTTAGGGAGTTTTGATTTCCATGTCAGAAAGTTTAGGGAGCTCAAGTATTTACCTGTTATGTTAGGTCACAACTCAGTTCAGTGAGTAATTTGCAAGTTTTGGAAGTTCGGTGAGTGATCTGCAACTTTGTCCTAAGTTTAGGGAGTAGTTGTGTGGTTTACTCAGTTATAAATGGTGAAAGGAAAACACAATATTACAGCATTATACATAATTAGGCTGCCAGCTGCAACATAATATTTTATCTTCCTATTGGAGATACTCTCTCTTTCAGAAAAGAAAGGATGCTAGAAACAGTGACATTAACATGTTTGAAGCGCCCCAAAATTTCTTTACCATCCCTTTCCCGAGTGAATATCTTCATTTTTTCGAATTCATTTCTCTTCTATATTATTTGGATTTATTCTTTTGGGTTCTAAGTGGAAGTAGAGATGCATATTGTGCAACAATAAATGGATCTAATTGCCAGGATGGTCAGATTTTACATGGCAATTAGATCCATTTAATGTTGGACAATATATATATATTATCAAGCTAAGCACCAAATAAGTGAGTTTCTACAGGAGCAGATGATGAGAGGAAAGAAACAAGCAGTAAACTGTACCTATGTCACATTCATCAGGAGACCCGCCCACGATATCTACTATTTCAGAATTTGGGAATAGGGAACTTTGGTTGCACTGGAATGCTGCAAGATCTGTGAATCGATTAAAACACAAAATGATTAGATGACAAACCAGAAAGGCAGAAACGCAATTGAACTAAATGTGTAACAGTATAACAATTTCTTCTGATAATCTTATTTATTATCAGTAATGTTGAATTAGCAACAAGCATAGACATTTAAACATCAAACCAATACTATCCATCAAACCAAAACTATCAGAAGATCATGAACATATTTATGAGCTCAATGTACAAGTGAGAAGGTACAGATACAACTCTACAAGTAAAGCATATCACCTCCTATATTGGTCAAACTGGTTGTTAGATTATGGTGTGAAACAAGATTATCAAAAGAAATTCCACCGCCACCATCCAGAGCAGGTTGGAACCCTTCTATGTTGCACATATTGGACCGAAAACTTGCACCAAATGCCATTGATTGACCACTCGATCTCTGAAACTCATGCGGTTCATATGAGACTTGATCATAGGATTCTATATGCATCTCATGGTTGCCACTAGCAGCCTCTCTGCTCAACAAACACCTGTTAGTAAGGCATAAAAGTGCAAGCTTCTGCATTATAACTTATATAGCAACCAAATAAAAGAGAAATCATGCTAGGAATGATGCACTTTCAGTTACTTTTTTTGATAAAGCTACAGAAAGACACAAACATATACGCAACAATCCTCAATAAGAGGTATGATAGAGAGTAAAGAACTGGATTAATAGGCCAATAGCAGAATTCTGCACTCTTTGTTGCATGATACCTCAAACAATATCAAGTTCAAAACTAAACAACATGTATAAATTTCCATAGCTGGCATTTGTCACTGTCAAGCCCAACATTAACCCGTATCCTTCCCCTCTTTCTCCAAACAGCAACGTCTAACTACTCATAGACTTAACCGCAACCGCTAAACTGGAATCTATGATAACCTTCAAAACAATCAGCCTTGTCCTACAAGAGGATGAAATACCATTCTAGCAGTGTGCAAGCAAAAAGGGTACTGGTATTTTTAATAGTAGTTATAGGTAGGGATTTGAAGATGCCAACTTGCCAAGTAATTAAAATTCAGGTCAATAAGCAACCTCATAGCCACAAATTCTTTTGAAAAAAATAAAAGCCAATTGAAGTGTGGGAAATTCATATGAAGTTCACAAAACTATCTTGTAAACACATGATTGATAAATATTGCAAGACATGATGTGCCACATCAATACTGATGGAATCATTCCTAATGTAAAGGAAGCCAGGAGCAACATAACAATCACCACTATCAAGAAGAGAGGGTATTATTAAAAAGAAACCACATGTGCTTATGAAAATGGGTTAATAAAGGGTTTCCTTACCCATTCTGTTGAATGAAATTGAAGTTGCCTGCTGCAGGAACTCCGTCTACCACATGATATGGAGACCCATACGGCAAGGAATCCATATCTGTAGCACCAGTAGATGGAAAATAAGGCTGTTGGGGAAGATATCCAAAGGACGAGTTTACTGCAGCACCAAACAACAGAAGAAATTAGTAACAAGTCTAGCAAAAATGAATCTAATTAAGGCAAGTTGATGAAAGATTATAACTACTCTAGGGTTCAATTTTCCCTTCTGATTTTTTTAGCGGTGTGTATAGGGAAATGAATTTCTTCTTAACTCGATGTAATAGAAAAGTTCTTCATGTACTTTGAACTCCTGCTGTAGTGCGTTCATTAAAAAGAATAAGGTTACTTCATGTACAAAATTTTACCTAGCATGTGACTATGACCATTTTGTGAAGAAGGCTGCTTTGAATTATCGAAATCTCTGTTCTTTGTCAAGTGGAACTGCTTCTCCATCAGTTGATTAAATAATATGATCTGCTTCTTCAAAGTCAGCCTTACATTATAAGCACTAAAAAAATCGGGATTTTCTTCTTCCAATCTCTGCCACACTGAAAAAAAAAAAAAAAAAAAGTCAAGACGTAGACATCCAGATACATTATGTATAGCATTTCACAGACAACTGAACAAGTGGAAAACTGAATAGGTAACAAAAAAATTAATGAACATTACGTGAACTTCCTTACCAAGATTTATAAAACGTTTTTCTAATTTGAATTGATTTACAAGCATGGTTACCACTTCATCTTCAGTCATGTACAAATGCAGACACCTTTCAATCAGAGCTTGGACCTGAATGAGATTCAAATGAAGAGTAAACATAAACATAACATCTAGAATGATTAGAGAGGCGATTATCTACCAATTTTTAAAAATTAATATAGACGCAGATATCATCCTCACAAATTTAATATCTTCACATGTCACTTTCCGGTGAGCCTCATTTGGGAGAGATGAAGGCGAGTCTGTTTGAGCCTCCGATGCAGTGGATCCATCCTCACCATCACGGTCATGCAATAATTCGGTTGGTTCTTCTTCCTCCCTCTTTGGCACCTTCTGCCAAACTAAATGTGTTCAGTAATTTGTATAAAAATTTAATTTGTCAACCAAGTACATATCAAGAAAATGACAAGTTCTTAGGAACCATCAGGATGCTCCAGCAACAATCCAAAGTTAAACATAAAAATACAACAGGTTGGTAATTGGACCAATTTTGACAAACGATGACTTACACAAGCGAAGTAATTCTATAATTTACATACTTCCTCCAATCTCTATTAATTTGTTACAAATTCCTAATTTAAAAGCTTCATAGCTATAGACCCATATTGGTAATGTGTTTTCTCCATCTCTCCAGTCACATGTTCTTCTTTTTATCTCTATCAATTTCCCTCCTATTCATGTGTGCCATCATCATACAAAAAAAAAATCAATAGAGAGCGTATGAAATAAGCCATAACAACTCTTCAAGATCCGCCACTAGTTACAAGAAAACATAAATAAATTTCCTACATCATCAAACTAATTCTAATTCCTAAACATGTTAAAGACTACACCACCAACCAAAACAGTGACATCAAGGATTCAAGGCAACAACGAATTTGAAAGCAAGGAAAATAACAAAATCATCTTCCTTACTAAGGTACCTGAAAACTCATCTTCCTTCACAGCACACAAAACCACCTCGATTTGCTTTATTCTGAAATTTTCACAGACACCGAACACCAATCAACTTCAATCAGAATGTAACAAAAAGTTCGGAAATTCGTTTTCTACAGATAAGGCAACTATAAATCCATCAAAAGAATCAATACAAATATTCACAGCTTAAAGTAGCAGCATAATATATGAAACAGCATTATATCATCAACCAACAGTCAGTAAATTCAATGTAATTTTGGCCCAAACATTCTAAAACACAACAGAAAATAGCTGGAATTCCAACAAAAACATGGATTTTGACAAAGCAAATTAAACAACTCATAGTTTATGCGGTTACTTAATCATTAATTAATGTTTTTAATTTTTTACATTCTATATTACACCCTCCAATAATCAAATTGGTTCTTATTTTATTAAACCCTGCAAACAAAATACTCAAGATTACTTGAATTTCCAATAAATTCAATAAATCAACCCAAGAAATTCATAACAAAAAGGAAATTACATAATTCAGCAACCAAAAAAAAAAACAAAAAAATATCAAGATTTTCAGAAATAATATAGAAAGCTATAAATTCACCAAATCAAAATTAAACAATTGGGCACACAATTGCCAAAATAAAAAAGCTATAATTTAGCGAAATTGAACAGTTGTGTAAAACTCACATAGTAAAACAAATTTTGTCGAAAGAATTAAGGTGGAGGAGAGAGATGAAGGCTCAGTACCGAACCCATAATCTAATCTAGTACTCCTACCAAAGTATAAACTTTTTTAAAAAAAAAAATAAAATAAAATTGGAAAAAGATAAAATATTACAGAGTTTTTAACCCTGTGTTTTCTGCGTTTTTTTATATAACCTCGACTTTTACACTACTATCTTTTTTTTTTTTTTTTTTTTTTTTTTTGAAGCCAAGTAAAACAGACTTTTACACTACTAAGGTAACCTTATATTTATAAAAACTCATTAATTAGTTAAATACTAAATTTTTAATGTATAATCACTAACATTAGTTAAAGTGAAATAGGTGAATAGTTTCAAAATATATCACTTAAAAAAATACGAAGGGAGTAACAACTTAAAAAAAAACGAGTAAAATGCATTTTAGGGGATTTACCTTTCATACTTTTCATCATTTGGGGACTCACCTTTCACTTTTCATCATTTGGGGAATCACCTTTCACTTTTCATCATTTGGGGATTATCAGTAGGTATTAAAAATTTTCCAATGAAGTAATAAAAATTAGTTAAATAAAAGTTAGTTAAATAGACTTTCATTGTTTAATTTTGCTTTTTACAGTTGGCTTCATAAACAGTTTGACTTAGTTAAATAAAAATTACGACACATCCTCCTCCTAATAAAATAAAGCACGGTTAATTAAAATAACCCAGATTAGACTAAAAGTCAATCAACCCTTATTTTCTCAAACAAGAGACGCTGCTAAACGAAAGCTTCTTCAACACTCTGGGTGTGTATCTAAATGATAATTTTTTTTTTGGAATTAGATTATTTTTTTGCAATTGATAAGGGTTTAGGAGTTACATAATAAATCAAACTCGAGGTAAACTCATCGACATAAATTCAACTCTGTATATGTAAATAGGCTACTTCAATAGTGTTTAATTCAGCGTCAAATTCGTAGTACTATACTCTTACACTATTTTGTTTATATGAATGGCTTCTACATTGTCTACATGTATTTAACAGGTTTGCATGTAATCTTCCTTCAATTAATGAAATTAGCACCAGGTGCCACATAATTTGATCTCTGCCAAACTTTTATAAGATTTTCTACTTTTAAAATTTTATTAAGATTCTATTTGTGTTATTCATACTTTTTTTGTTACCACTGCTAATTGAATATCTGTATTACAATATATATGCTATGTTTTTTTTTTTTAAATCAAAATATTACAGCGTTTAAAAATTCTCATAACTCGTTTAAAAATATATATGCTATTTTTTTTTTTTTTTTTTTGCATAAATTTTGAACATTTTGGGGTTATCCAGTTACAATCTTTTATGTTGGTTGGAATAGAGTAATATGCAAATAATTGAACACTATATGAAGCCCGTGCGATGCACGATTTGTTTGTATTTTTTCAAATAAAATATTTTACTAATATATATTTATCAAATAAACTTTGCGATATTCGCTTGCTTACTACTTGAATATTTTATTATAGAATGAATTATTAACTTTATTTCTCATATTTAGATAAAATTCTTAATATAAAAAGGTAATATTTTATTTCACAAAGTTTCATATGTGACTGGTCACACCGTGTGGTCGGGATTACTTGTTCAAGAGTTACTTGGTTGGTCAAGGCCAGGGTTACTCAATCGATCAGGAGTTACTCGAACGGTTAGGGGTTACTCGGTCAGTGTTTGGGTATGTCTCAGCCGGCCATACGATATGGCCAGCCACACAAAAAACACGCTGATTTTATTTTATAATTAATATAAAAATTTTGATCTAAAATAAATTGCAATTCTTTTTATTGGCTAAATATAATATTTTCCTATGTAACGCTCTAAAATTAATCTTACGTGGCATAATCCTATTGTAGCGTTTTAAAAATATTAATCCTACGTAGCGTTTTTTTTTAAAAAAAAATACTAATCTTACATGGCAAAACCTTATTGTAGCGTTTTAAAAATATTAATCCTAAGTGGCGCTCTAATAATTTTTTAAAAATTAAAATCCTACATGGCGTTCTAAATACTCGAGAAAAAATTCCCCTTTATATATATACTAGTACGTGCCTCGAGCGTTGCCCCGAATACCCATTTTAAAGAGTATACTTGTGGGTTTGTTTTATATTATTATTATAGTTATAATTATCATAATAACAATAATAATAATTATTATTATCAGTATTTAAATTTTTTTTAAATGTTAGAGTAGAAATAATACCTATTATTCTTTTTTCACGTTTGTTATTATTTTCTGTTTTTGTAAGTTGCACTATATTCATTTGATCTACTATGACCAATATTTGTGAATTATACATAAATATATATATATATATATATATATATATATATATATATATATATATATATAATTATCTTTTATCAAAATTCTATCTCGACATAGGGCTAAATTTCAATGGGATACTAAATTAATAGAGGGAGTATAATTTTGTGAAAAAGAAGAGTGCGTCGGTAAAAAAAAATTAAAAAATAAATAAATAAATAAAAGAAATTATTTTTTTTAACACGTAAAATCAACGGATTATATTATTGGTTTAATTGGACCATTTGTAATACATGGATGGTAAATGGGCTATGAAGGCTTTGTAAAACCCATAAAGTTCTAAGACCTTGCTACATTGATCTGAATTCACTTCAAGATTCCCTTGTATTGTACAGTTTCTGTTGTGTCCTAACTTAATTAAGTAGTTTTCGACTTCTTTAATTTTATTAACAAAATCACTAACATACACAAAAAATATTACAACCGAATGTGAAGAATACCTGATTCAAAATATTTAACGGTAAATCAATGGTAGACTAAAAAAAATTAATGATACGTAGCCATATTTATAATTATAATTATGTGGTTATTGGTATGGGAGTAAAATTCTATTGTAATTGGATATTCATATTAATTATAATATGTGGTGTGTTGCTATAAGTAAAATTCTATTATCAATAAAAAGATAAAAAATTTGCAAAAGAATTATAAATTATATTTATGTATATATTTTTTTTTATCTTAAACAAATCTATCCAATCTAATCTGGCATCTAATCTAATGTGGTGTGTTGTTATAAGTAAAATTCTATTGTCAATAAAAAGATAATTTTTTTTTCAAAAGAATCATAAATTATTTTATGTATACTGTTTTTTATCCTAAACAAATCTATCCAATCTAATCTAACGTGGCATCTAATCTAATCACAATAATATCACTTTGTTGCGTATGTGGCTTGACACTTGGTGAAAAACTGGAATGCCAAGTGTTCCTGTCTCGTAACTTTTGTGTGCATGTTTTTCTGATTGGCTGAATTGTATTTCTAAGCTTTGAGCTCATATTGGTCATGGTTTGAGAACGGGAATTGAACTCTATCAGACCGAGTCTCCCGTTGTTCCTCAGTAGCTCAGTGGTAGAGCGGTCGGCTGTTAACTGATTGGTCGTAGGTTCGAATCCTACTTGGGGGGATTGGATTCATTCTTCATTCTGTCGCTTTGACCGTTAAAAGTAGGTAAGTGAATGACCCCTTCCTGAAATTATTTTTACCGATTAAAACTTATTTTTACTAATTCTCTATTATTTTAAATATATTATAAATGGATCTTATTTTAGAGAACTTTTAAAAACGAATTTTATGATGGAAATAGAACCGAGTTATTAGGTTTTTTTATTAAAAGTTATGATTAATTTTGTATATATGAAATATTAGAAGTATGTCGACAATAAAATTCTATACAACACTTTTATTTTAAAAAATCTATCCAAAATTTGCTTACTTAGCATCATATGTGTCACAATAATACCTAGTTTTCGCTTACTTGGCTCGACACTTGGCGAAAAACTGGAATGTCAAGTGTCGCTGTCTTGTGCCCTGGCTGCGAGACCGGCTTTATTTATTAGTGATATGATATGATATTAGATTTATTGAACTGAAATTATTTTCACCAAAACTAAAATTATTTTTCTTGATTAAAACTTATTTTCATTAATTCTCTATTTTTTTGTAAATAAATTAACTATATTATAAATGGATCTTATTTTAAAGAACTTTTAATAACAAATTTTATTATGGAATTAGTACCGAGTTATAAGATATATTTATTAAAACTTATGATTAATTTTGTATATATGAAATATTAGAAGTATAGCGATAATAAAACACTATACAACATTTTTATCTTTAAAAATATATCCAAACTCTGCTTACTTAGCATCACATGTGTCACAATAATACCTATTTATTGCCTACGTGGCGTGACACTTGGCAAAAAATCGAAATGCCAAGTGTGTTGTCTCGTGGCCTGGCTGCGAGACTGGCTTTATTTATTAGTGATATGATATGATAGTGATATAATATGATATAATATTATATTCTTTTTTCGATACATTAAGCATTCCCGAGATGGTTTCTTAAAAATTAGTTTTGTGCCCGGGCGATGCCCATGTAATACCCCGTATTTTGATACGTATTTTCTAAATTAATTAATTATTATTTCCTAAAATGGGTATTTTAGTAATTTAAATTACTATTTGAATTTTGGAGCCAAAATGATATTTGAATTTTGACGCCAAAAGTATTTTGAAACCTAATTATTATTTTAAGATTTTGGATAAGATTTATTATCCATTTAATTTATTTTAAAAGCTGGATTATTTATATATTTCGGATATTTCAATTAATGCAAAAACTATATTTTATTATTTAATTAATAAGGTCCAAAAATTCCTAAATATTTTTTTTCCTAGTGTGGAAAATCTGATTTTCTAGGTTAATTTATTTAGTGAATAATTGGTATTTTATTAATTAATTATTTTATACAATAAATATTATTTACACAATTATTTTTAATTCCTTAAATCTAGCAAAATAACTCCCTAAAATATATATACTGATAGGATCCGAAATTTGAGCTATGGAAGCTCAATATTTTCGGCCCTCGTGGTTAAATTTTGGGTGATTTATTTTGGAAAATTGTATTTTTTAATTATTTCCTTATAATCTCTTATTTTCCTTAATTTTAGTTCTCCATCTCCTAAATATTTGATCATCTTATTTTCCTACCTTATATCTTCCTTGATTATTCACCAAGTAATCTCTTTTGCCATATTATTTGTCATGACAACACACTTTCCTTAATTTCTATTATTCTTAATCACCT